GAAATTAATAGCCCTTCTAGACTAATGCTCTTTGGGCTTTAAAAAAAAAAAAATCTAGGAATTTAATTATTTATAATATATAATAATGATCAGAGATCGTAATTATTTCTTTTTTACTTCCTTGTGCGAAGTAAAAAGGAAGTATTGTAATCGCGAAAAACTTCCGGCATCATATTGCACTGAAAATATCCATTCTGAGCGCTATCGAATGCAATTTGACTGTGTTTTTGTGTGACATGCATACATAAGGACAGAATAAAGGACTCTTCTTCCCCCAAAAAATTATAAAACTAATTTTAAATGAATTCTGAAGAGATTTTTTTGTGGCGTGTGTACGTACGTACGTATCTCTCATAACTCAAAAATGACTAGCCTCAAAACCTTGAAATATATAGGACTATAGGTTTTGTATATAAGACTGCTATAACATGTTGATGTGCACCTTGTATTTTGGTTGCAATCGGCCACACCAAAAGTATATAAATACACTTATATATATATCCACTCTGTCACTCAGCTCAGTGATCTCAATTTCTTTATTCTTATATGTTTGTAATTTGTGCGATTTTTGGGTTAAAAATGATTGAATTATGTTGTTCTGGCTAAGATTTTTATGCCTTTAGTTGACCTGCATGCAGTAATTGTGGAATTATCAACAATTTAAAAGTTTTTTAATTGCAGCTAAGCCTAATTCTTGATTACCATGGCCGCCATGTTTTTTTACATTTGAAACTTTGTAGAATAGCAGATTTGTTGCCAATCCAGAAAAATTAAGCTTCAGCACAACAAAATTATGTCTTCTTTTATTATTGCGAATTAAATTATGCTTAATTCATTCTGGAATTATCATTTAAGTTATTAGCTTTATTTGCGTTGAAACTGTACTTTTAATTGGAAAAATTGGTTTTTAATTGTTTTAACTGTACTTGTGTTAACTGTTATGTTTTTCTACATCTTTTAAATTTTAATGGAAATATTGTGAATTTTTACGTATTTTTGCCTTACTTTTAAAGCGGTAAAGGTAAGCGGCGCTGAACGCTGAATTGTATGCGAAAAAGTATTTCTTTAATTTCTTTTATATATCGTTTTAGATTTATTATAGTATTTGAATAGAACTTGTGGTAATTCTTCAGATGATATAATTTTTGTGCACTCTGAGTTATAAAATGAATGAGATGGTCCTAGCGCCGAATGTCGCTATGGTAAATAAATATAGTGAATTTTAAAGAGTACATTTATTCTCTTGTGGTTTATGTGCTATTCACGAAGTAGATTTAATTCAAAATTCGTTAACTACTCTTAATTCAATATGTTTAAATGAAATGCAGGAAAATTGCGTATAATTTAATATTCCGTACAAGGAAGTCATGTGGTGTACACATCAGATTCTTTTTTCGGTGCTACTTTGGTAGACGGTTGCACGGATTTTGGCGAGTTCTTGGCAGTTTTTCTTTTGGCGAGTAATACGACTTATGGTAAACCCATTGCTGGATACGTTATTTATGGTAACCCATACTTTGTTGTCATTTTATTTAAAAAAATAATGCGTGTTATTATACACAAATTCCGCATTTTAAATATTATTTATGGGCTTCTAAATAATAAAAATCAATTTAATTTTGCATTTTTATTTGAAGGAAAAATATTCTTATTTATGATATTTTGTATAATTTATGCTTGTGGATTGGTGTAAACAATGACGTCACCTTGCTTTAAATGTAATTGGTTTTAATACCTATAAATTTAATCTAATGCTTTTAAACATTATTTATGGCTGTTAAATATTAAAATACAATTTAATTTTGCATTTCTTTTTTTAAAATGATTTTATTATGTATGATTATTTAAATAATTTTAATTCTAGGCGTGATGTAATCAGCTCTCTGATTTGTTTTTAGAATATTTTGTGCATTAATGAGCTGTAATCAGCTCCCTGATAGGTTGCTGAAAATTTGTGCATTACCGCCGCGCCATTTTAAAATTTAATTCATATCTTCGAATTCCTCAAAAATGTCTCCTTCAAAGATGAATGTTGTTTTTGATAAGTACCAAGAATTTTGGTTTCGGAATCAAAAAATTGTCCTTTGAGCCTTATTTTCGCCAGCCTGGCTTTCCTAATCAAATATTTATTTATAAATTCTTACAAGGGTTAGAGGAAATTTATTTTAAATTTTTAAAGGAAACGTTCGCTAACTGTTTCTTCTTCAATGAAGTACGAAAATGTATATCACAGATGAAGATCCGTTAGAAGAGCCGATTCTGAGAACGGCCGTATATGATATTGTGGTCATGTTGGAAGAAATAACCGCTGTAACGGTAAGGAAATTATTAGACATTTTTTACCGACATTTTTTGCCTCCCTTTTTACCGAACAATAAACTAATTGCTGTCATTTTAGCTCTACTGTACGAAGTGTTCTTATTTACTTATTTTAAAGTATTTAATTTAAGTCATATTTTAATTCTTTTAAACGTTGGTATGATGGTTTTTAATTCGATATTCAATTTACGTAATATTTTAATCCAATTAAACGTTGGCGCAATGTTTTTATAGTGGTATTTTTATTCTATTTCTATGCTATATGAAAGTAATAATTTACCTTTCTTTAGTATTTATACTCGTAGTAAATGTATTTATTCTATATAATATATATATATATATATAATATATTCTATATAACGTTTTAAAGTATTTAAATTTAATAATATTCTAATTCTTTTAAATGTTGGATGATGTTTTTTTATTTCGATATTCAATTTCAGTAATATTTTAATCTAATTAAACGTTGGCACAATGTTTTTATAGCGTGGTTTTTATTCTCTTCTTTGCTATATGAAAGTAATAATAATACCTTACTTTAGTATTTTATACTCATAGTAAATGTATTTATTTGCACTTGCCTGCCATCTTAAAAAACGACATTTTCAACAAAAAAATTAATCCATTATTTCTAACGATTTTTTTTTTTTTTTTTTTTTTTTTTTTTTTTTTTTTTAAGTTTCGAATACTTTACTATGCGTAAAAACAGCGTTTTTCAAGATGGCTGACGTTTGTAGAAATCGCACCAACAATTGCGCCAACGTAAATCTCCAAAAATCCGTGCAACCGTCTACCAAAGTAGCACCCTTTTTTCTTTGTTAAAAGCATTACACACTTTCACAATTATTTTTTAAAATTTCTGTCGGAAGACTGTTATTATTTTCCCCTTAAACGCATAAAATACTGTTACAGTATTTTCAGTTTTTCTTAAAAGCATAACATGCTGTCACTAATTTTATATTCTCTTGAAAAATTGTCACTATTTAATATATACTTAGATTCCATTTCGTTAATGGGAGGTTAACTTAGGAGATTACGAAACTCAAAAATCAATAAATAAAGCTACTATAAATTTACAGAATGTGACTTCACCACAATGAGACTGAACTGGGAATGTAAAAAACGATTCATGGAAATACAAACTTATGTACTCGTATTAAAGTTAGAGAAAAAAGTAAATATGACGAATTGCCGTAAGTTGGTGGATAAACTACAAAACAGTAAAAAGTGCACATAATCTTTTAAAAAACAAACATAAGGAATAATATTAGGTAATGTGATAAATAAAATTTTATGCTAAAATTTTCATAAAATTTCAGAAGTTGTTTTTATTCGCAATACTCCCTTTAAGCATGTAAAAAGGGGCCCATATTCTACATTCATATTCAACTGTTTGATAAATGAGAATCTACCCCATAATTTATTTTCAAAATAAAATCACTAGTAAATTGCTCTTTGCAATGGACACGGATCGCAGGATTCCTTAAAAAGTCTCCTTCATATACCATCAGGTAAATTTTAACGGAAATCATAATGGAAAGACTGCAATCCATTGTTAAATAAGATGTCTAAAGTCTGTATATCCTACTGGTCTTAAAAAGCAAAAACTGGAAAACGCTAGCAGGGAGAAGATTGGACTGGAAAAAGCTGTTTGAGAAAGCCAGAGCCCACCCTAGGCTGTCAGGCATTGAGAAAAAAAGGTATGTGGTATGGTGTAAGTCTGTATGTGGAATTATAACGTTATATTAGATTAGGTGATCAGGTTATCTGACATGGGAAAACACATGAGAGCTATCTTTCTAAGGAGAGGGATGCCTTAGTGAGGGACTTTCAAGAAGAATTAATAGGAATTATATTTAACGTTTATTTTTATAGATTTTAAATTGCACACAAACAATTTTTTAAACTAATCATCCTTGTCTAAAATCTTTAATTTCATGACCCATATTTCTATTAGTTGCATGGAAATTTTCTAGGCGCACCTGACGCAAGAAAAGCCTTAGTAATATAGAATTTTCTTAATTATTGCAAGGATTTAAAATTCTGAATGATTTGAGTTTCAAACTATTGTAAAATAAATTTACTCTCTTTCAAATGCTCGCTGAAATTCCTTGAAAAGCTGTATATTGCGGCTCTCTGCCCTTCTCATTTTATTTTCAGAAAAAGATCATAAAACCAGATTTCAACTTTTTTCTCAACGTCTTGTTTATACTTTTCTCTAATGCATGGCTGACCTCATTAAGTCATAAATCGTAACACAAATGCTTCGTAAAATCACTGACCATGGGGAAACAATCCTAACAAATTTGGAAACTATATTCTGAAAATCTGCATTATTTTAATGGAAAAAATATGATAATAATATTTATAAGAATGCAAATATATGCATTAACCAATGTTACGAAAATCGTATTATCCGATTAGAGTTTGTAAAATTCAGCTACAATCAAAGTTGGAGACCGCTAGTAATTACGTTAACCTTTACTCTAGGGGGAGGAAGAGAAAAAAAAAATATTATTAAAAGAAAACGCTCGAAGGAATCCTTCAGGGTTGTGAATAAAAACAAAACAAATAAGTAAATAAATAGTAAAGGGGACGAAGTAAAATCCGGGTGAGGGAGAGGGGGTAAAATATCAGAGTCGAAAAAGAGGTGGGGACCGATGGGTGCGCCGATGGTGAAATTAACCCTCATTTAGACGGTGTTCCGCCCGAACAGAAGCCGCAGAACCAAGCACTGTGAGTTACGGGGAAATTGGGAGTGGATCAAGGGTTGCTCCGCCGGCGGGGAATCTACCAAAGAAGCAGCGGAGATCTCCCGTAACCCACGCGGCTGAAGGGAAAACAAATTGGCGGTGTGTTATCGTCAGCGGTGAGTTGTCTCAATTTAAAATTATTGCTATTGTAAAGAAAGGTCAAAGAGATTATATGTTAAGCTTTAAAGAAAAAGCTTTTAAAAGTAAACTTTTATTGAAAACTCTAAAGTAATTAATGAACTAAAAGGAGCACGATGGAGTTTAATGGAAACAAAATATTAAATAATTTTCTTTGCAACATTCCTCTACGACTTTATATCACGTATAATAAAAGCATAAGACGCCCCTGATAAATTTATAAAGGTAATGGCTTACAATTTTGACAGGGCAGCTCAATTATTAGTTTTCGTTACTTAGGTTTGTGCTATAAAATCCTAGATGAATTTTGTAAAGTGAATTAATAAATATCTTGTTCTCATAAATCTACATGATAAATTATCATACTCTTTTTAACTCATTAATTACTTTATGGGTTTTATATACAAGTTTATTTATTTATTACTTTTTTTTTTTTTCATTTTTAGTCTCAATGATTCGTTATCATTAAAATAATTTGTTCAATTGAAAAATATTTTGGCAACAATGAAGAACCTACCAAAACTGATAAAAAAATCTAGTAATTATTCGAAATTTCGCTTAAAATTCAAGAATTATATAATGCATTTCATGTGATTTTCGTTCAAAAGATTTTTTTTCCGCTCAATTCGATGGCGCGAACTGTAGAGTTATGAGGGTTTTAACTTTTTGGACAAGCGAAAGTATATGCGAAAAATCGTTTCAATATTAAATCTTGAAAAAAAATCTAAGCAAAAATATTTTTAAAAAAGATCACTGCCTTACATTGTGGTGTCATCTACAATGGGAATGTGGGCAAAATTTAACATCTAAGTTAGATTATCAAGAAGTAGTTTTAAAATCGATGACAAAGCTCTGACCATAGCGACAAACACCCTGAGTGAGCTAAAAAAATAACTTATAATTAAAAAAAAAAGTTAAATTTGAATTTGCTGTTGCGAGAACACTATATTTAAATATATAATTAAAAATCGTATATTTAAAAATACTCATCTTTTGCAGCCATTTAACTCTATTCCAGATGTTTCATACGTAAATGAAAATTTTAGATTGATAAGAAAGTATTATTGTGATATTATATAATATTTTATTTTTAATTAAGAAAAACTCAGATTGGCAATTCTCTGCACCTTAATTTTACTTATACTTGGAATTCGAATTAGTGTTTTTTTGTCCCATCTATTGCAACTAATGTTATTTATAAAATGCTAAATATCTTCTATAAAACTTACCTTATTCTTTATATTAAAACAGCTGTTGGCTTTATTATTTGATTTAGTTTAAGGACTGGAATTTTTTTTTTTTTTTTTTTTTTTTTTTTTTTTTTTTTTAATATTTGATTACTTTTTATGAGTTTGCCAGTTTGGGGTTGTTTTTGCGCTTAGCGGCCATGTTGTATTCTTGCCAACTATATTAAATGAAACTTAGCTATTTCACATAGGTTTTTATTTTTTAATTTGTATTCGATAGCAGTATTTAAATTATTCTTTTTTTGTACTCTGAATCTGGCTAATGACCATCTATGTTTTACCATCTATCATCTATGTTTTCAGGTTAAAGTTAAGGGGGGTTGAGCTACACCAGACAAAGTTCCATTTTATTCTATATTATTTTTTACCTTTTAAGAATTTTTACATAATCTTGGTAATTTCAGAAATATACCTTTTGATTTAATTAGTTCATTTAAGATTATTTTAAACATGCCTTTTCTCCTAACTTCAGGGTGTTTAAAGCAAGCTTTATTGATATATTATTTTTAACCTTTTTTTCCTTTACTTTTTTATTTTATTATCATTTGTTTAAATGTCTCAATTTTTTTTTAAATTAACAGACTACTTGTTTATTAACTTTGCCACGTATTTCTTATTTATTTATTTGTTTCTTGACGAAATTAAAAAAAAAGTTGATAAATATTATTGCTTTAGAACAAATTATCCTTTAATTGCAATTGCACATATAAATTTATCTTTATATATATATATGAGCTGTATCATGACAGTTTTTTTTTTTTTTTTTTTTTTTTTTTTTTTTTTTTTGCGTAGCGGCCATACTGGATTTTTACCATCTATATTAAATTAAACTCGGGCGCTGCCCGTTTATTTTATGTGTTCTTGTTTTTAAAAGCACACTCAGCATGAATTAGCTATAATGCATTTATGCAAGTGTTACATCAAAACTTAGTTTCACTAGTATGAGTATTTTTTAAGTATATATTTGCAAGAAAAAGGTATGAGCAAAACTTTATTTAAACAGACATGCATACGAAGATATACAAACAGTTCTTCATTAGATGTTTTTGTTTGTCTTTGAAAAGAATTAATTTCTTTGTGGCAAGAGTTTTCTTTTAAATTACGTAGTATAATTTTCTTGCGAATAAACGCAGCATTCCCAGCTTACTGAAAGGACTCCTTTAAATTTAGAAAGTAAATTATCGTAATAAAAATATATATTACTTCCAAAACAGATAAATAACCATTCTTCAGCATTAGTTTATTCTCTTGGGGGATATCAGTTTAAAACATATATTTGGTTTAGTTTAGCGTAACTCATTATAAAATTTCATACTGTAGAGGAAAATTTTGAACATGCTGCTGTAATACCCAGCTCCATTCAATCTTCATATCTTAAAATACTCAGTCGATAAATATATACGATAACGTTTATGAATCTGAGCTACGGTAATCATATGCTAAATCTACTATTAAATTAATTAATTATTTAAAAGAACTTTAAATGGAATTATTTTCTCTTTTTCTTTATAAAATTATTGCCTACATAAATTTTAAGTGTAATATGTGTTACATAATTTAAAGAGTATGTTCTAGAACACAATTAATAAAACCAGTTCCGAAGCAAATTTTCTGGTGCCTGAAAATCTTGCATCATTTTTTTTAATGTGTGTGTGTAATTTAGTAATTTAGTTTCTCATCGAAAATACATTTTCCTAACCAAATTTTGAATTATTATTGCTGAACTCCACTTAAGGTAATTTCATTGATTGTCTACAGAAGTGTAGTAATTTCTCCAATCATTCCTGACATTACATTTATATACTCATTATAATCTTTTAGTCTGTAGGATCTCTAGTCTTAGACGCAGTTTATATTAATGACATATAGTAGAGTAATACCAAAGAACAAAAATCCAAATATTATTTCTGCTTCTTAATAATTATATGCTTTATTTCTTTTTTAGCCCTAAACAATATACTCATATAATGTACTGAGATTTAAAAGTCTGTATACTCGTTTATTTATGCTTTCCGAAACGATCTACCGAAGTTACGGAGAATTCAACTATAGGGATAAATAATTTTTTTAATCGTAAATGAAATGAAAAAAAGTAATGAATTCATAGTTTTTCCTGCCTTTTCCATTTTTCATTGGCTCTAAAGAGTTACACGTACTAAAATTATTCTTTCAGTGTTAATCGAAACGCATTTTAAGTGGTAACAAATGGTTATGAGGGCTGTTTGAAATTAATTTCTAGATTATATATCCATACTAACTTTATTATATTTAAGACGCAGTAATATAATTATTGTACTCATTTTATAAATCACATGCCCTATATAAAACTAATAAACTATTATATCAAATTGCTGTTATACAGCGTTGAAGATACTCGGCTTCTTTGAAATGTTTCGTCATTGAAAAAGCCCACCAGCGGCCGAGCGGTAAAGACGCTGAACACTGGTAGTTCGGTCTGAGGTTCGAATCCCGCGAACGGGCTGGCTGCATGGGCGTTTTCGTGGTTTTCGCCATGTGTAACGTGTATACGAGCCAGTTTCCCTTAGAAAGTCCTCCACGAAAGGCATCCCTCCCTTTAGGCAGATAGCCCTCGTGTGCTTTGCCATAATTAAATACACACACACACACACACACACACACACGTCATTGAAAAACTTAATTCCATTTATATGAGTTTAGTACCGTATTTACTCGTGTAATAGTCGCACTTTTTTTGCCAATATTTCATTGTGAAAGTCTTGGTGCGACTATTATGCGGCGAAATCTAGTCCACAATATTGTACACTTTTGGCGATTTTTTCCGCTTCAAAACGGGAGGTGCGACTATTACGCGAGTAAACACGGTAATATGTACATATTAGTATAATGAAATGTACATATTAGTGCATTAGATTCAAACTAATATGCTTTTATTTCCAAATATTACGATTCACCTATTGAGAAACTATAAAGACGACTACTCTCTATAAAGACGACTAATAAAGAAACTAGGGGAGTTTATTCAAAAGGATAAAAGTGCACCGTGATAATTTTATATTATCACGGGGGAAAAAAACCTTTTTATCTCCAGCGCGCGGAACTGTATATCGGAAATTCTGAAGATACGCTTATTTTAAAATTATTTTGCCATATTGCTATTGAACTGAATTTTATGGTTTAAGTGCAAACATGATATTTAATAAATAAATGTAACACACAAAACGTTAAAAAGACGCCCCTTTGGACTTCATATAAAATCTGAAACCTTTCAGATTTTTTTATTTTATATTATTATTATTATTGTTATTATTTAAGCTTTTTAGCTTTATTATGAAGCGTCGCTTTCCTCGCACTTCTGCCGCAAACAATTTAACAGTAAAGTCACAAAAATTTTAAAACCAGCATATGTTTAGATTTTCCGATACAGTTGGCATACACCTTTCTTCTTTTTTCAGTCTTTTCTCAGTTTATTATATCAGTGTTCAGTTTTCTTACTAAGATAGCCTATATTCTCGCGCGCTGGACGTAAAATTGTTTCTTTCTGTACTGTGTTGCCATTGCTCGCTTTGAAATTTTTGAGTTTGTTAATCAAAAATTGGGTAAAGTTTTACAATATATATATATATATCGATAGATAATAAAACAAATTCGAAGTTCAAAATTCGAGCTTCCAGGTGTCCGTGTTTGGCTGCAGGACTACGTTATTTAAAATTTGATAGCTCTGATTACTTTTGTTTTTTCATTCTTATTCT